CCTTTTGCAACTATTTGGTTTTGTCATATCATGGGGATCATTGTAAAGCTTCCTCTTCTATCAATACATTCACTTATATGGAGGGACCATGATATCCTTTGGTCTCTGAAAATTCATGTCATTGTCACCTGCAAAACAATTTAATGTCATCTTTTCATCCTCAATGTCTTAAACTGTTTCCAAATTCAAATTCTATCTAAGAGCAAAATTCCTCTTCTGTGAATCTAAAATGAAATCTCTTCCAAAGTACGATGATGAGACAGGCACAAAGTAGATGTTTACATTACAGATGAGGGGAACTGAAACACATAGCAAGTAAAGTACTCAGAAAATAGTTTGTTTAGCTCTCAAGCTTGAAAATAATCCTCTATTCTCTGAGATTACATAAGCATTGGCCCTATTTTCTAGATTCTAGGGATTGGACTTACTCTTTGTGATCTATCAGTATTGAGGACCTTTATTGCTGACATTTCCAGGGTTGCTATGGCCCGGTTGCCAGAGAGATCATGGTGCTGTTTGGGCTGGCGTTGTGGCAGTTTTCGGATGCGAAGGACTACTCTGCCTCCAGGAGTCAGGCAAGCCATGCAAGCCAGGCTTGGCCTAGGGTTTAAGGCGGAAGCAGAGGAATTCAAGCTAAGAAGGAGAAGAGGGGAGAGACGGCCTGTCTTTCATTGTTTTTGTTCAGACATTCCTCTAGGTCGTATCGCTCTGGTGCACAAGTTGCCGTCCCCTGGTGTACAAGCTGCCGTCCTGTGGTCACTTTTGGTTGCTGTGAGGCTGAACACTGTGACACTGATGTGTCAAATGCATGAATGGTTGGCTACTGAATGTGGACAGAGAGTGGGGTGGAGCTCCCCAAGTAAAACAATCTTGGAAGTAGGAGTGGCATCCACTTCCATAATAGCTTGCCTCCAGAAACCCTAAGAACCTGGAGAGAGGATTAAAGGCACCCAAGCATTGAGGACTCTCCTTCATAGCATCGTTATGAGTTGCCTGTAGCTCGACAGCACTTAACAACAACACAACAATTGCTGGCATTTAGCTTTGCTATCGAGGCTCACTGGGCAGCCCCATTCTCCTAATAAAATGGAAAGGTAAACACACCTCCTTATTCGAATAGGCCCAATTCTTCTGTCCCTTCAGGCAAGACAACTACATCACCTAAGCTCTCTGCGTGGTGATCTCTATGAATCACACTTGAAAATATATAACAACACCCTAAAACCAAGTTGTCATAGATATGACTTTTTGACACCTAGAAACTAGGATTTCACCCATAGAAACCCCAAAACCATGTTCCCACACTTTAAGACACCAGAAATTGTGCTTTTATCTTTTGATATGGCAACAGCTCTGCTTCCCAGCCTCCCTATTTCCCAGAAGAAGTCAACCCAGTCTCTCTCCTACTCTAGGAAATGTTACAAAGTTTTTAGCTCTATTGATAAATGCTCAGAGGCATTTCATATTAAAGTATTTGGTTTATCAGTTCATAGGAGAAAATTATGTAGCTTTGACATTATATCAGTACACATATCACTGCAGAACACAACTCAATCCACCCTACCCTTATTTCTGTTTCTCTGAAAGTCACCTAATTTTGTCCTCATAACTGAGAAACACATATATGTTGTTAGATATATGATTCTTGGTTAGCATTTTTCTTGTTGTATTTGAGGAACAAATATATATGGTTAGATATATAATTATTGGGCAGCATTTCTCCAGAATGTATGTATAAATACAAATATAAAAGTGTAACTTACTTTTCTTCATTGTCTTCTTACTTGCATCATTTCTGCCAAGAAATCATAATTTATTCTTATTTGTTGTTTTTTTGTAAGTAGGTTTTCATTTTTCCTGATATATTTTCAGGATTTTTGTTTCTATTTGGGTTTAAATTGTTTGATTATGTTATATTTCAGTGTTTGCTCTTGGGGTGTATCCTTTTTAGGTTCTTTGAATATCTCGAAGGCATTTCACAATAATAAGAAAACTTTTTCCAATAAGCAAATATTTTTCAATTTGCATTGTCTTTTTATTTTTTCTTTTTCTTTTCCTGTTCTGGAGTTCCGGTCACATATGGTGATTAGCTTTATTTCTTTTTGCCTAATTGTTTCTTCAACAAAATATTAAGATATTTTTCTTCAATTTCAGTAAATTTGTCTTCCATTAATGCTATTCTACTTTTTTTGCCCATCTATTTGCTCTTTCTGTATGGTTTCTAATTTCCACTTTTTTCTGTTTATTTTTGTAAAATACTTCTATAGTTTTGTCTGTTTTCATTGATTTCTGTCTCTCATAGTTTTGCTGGACTCATTTATAGAGTCAGATAACATTTCTTCTTCTAGAAGATTTTTTTGATCCTGTATTTTTGTCACTTAATTGAGCTATTTTGTCCTTTCTCTCTTTTGTTTGTTTCATGTGTTATTTGCAGTTGCAATAGTCTCCAACACACTGTAGTGTTATTATGTTTTTCTGGTTGTACGGTAGAGGCAAGAATGATGAAGCTTTGTCATTCATACTTGTGTCATGTTATCTGGAGGAACAGAAAAAAAGTACTTCATTTTGGAAAAGGTGGAAGGCAGAGAAAGAAAGGAAGTCTCTCAAAAAGACATATTGACACAGTGACTTTAACAACGAATTTGAGAATATCAAAGATCATGGTGATGGCACAGGATAATTCATATAGTTTCTATGAGTTAACAACAAGAACAATGTTGCTTAATTCAGCTTTTTTTGGTTTTTCTTTTAATATACTGGGGCAATGGAGCAGGTGTGCTACTCTAATCTACAGTTTGGAAACTCTAGGGTGCTCAATTCCCATCTCCTGTTAAATTTGGTAGTGAACTGGAATGTTGACACAAGTCTCTGATCATTGTTCATATATAACAGCTAAGTACAGGCTCATCAGGTATTGGTTGTCTTCTGTCACTGATCCAGTCATCCTCGCAGATGTAGTGGCACTTATCCAGAGGGTGAGATGAAAACATGGGGGAAAGAGGTTAAAAAAAAAAAGAAAGAGGAGGAGAAAGACCTAAAAAGAAAGAGAAAACATGTAGTACTGACACATCATTCTATCTAACAAACATCATCATCATCCACAGAGGGACAGGGTGACACTTTTGGGTGCAAAGGTACAGAGAGTATATTTCCCAGGCCAAGAGCTTAAAAAGTGTTTGATGAATAAAGAATAATTAAAAATTAAAAGTTAACTAGTACAGTGTGAAGAAATATTGAATAGACACTAGGTGGATGAGGTGGAGATTGTTCCTTTGGTTGAGAACACTCTTGTGAGTTTAAGTCAGTCTTTGGAAGGTACAGCCAGTTATCTGCCTCCTGTCCTGATGCAAACACTGCTTGCAATAATAAAAAATAGTCTTATTGTGCTGAGTCTATTGACAATTTACTGATCAATATGATGCCTTGTCCATTGTTCATAATAAATTTCTTTATTTAATTTGTGTTTCATCTATTTCTCTTTGAAGCTCTGTGTTCCAGGATTGCTTTCCATATCCATTACACTTCATGTCTTGGGTCTTTGTTTTAGAAGGTCTGTGTGATATAACTAGATTACCATCTTAGGTCTTCTTCTTCAACCATCTTAGTATTTGCCTGTTTAGTGGCATACTTTTAGTATTGTCCACTGAATTGCTTTTTTCCCCTCCACATTTTGTTTTGTTACTAAATTTGCAGGGGTTTTTTTGTCATCCTCAATTCTAAACCCTTGAACTTTGCAGTGCCCATCTTAAAAATGAGGTATCAAGCAACACTGGTGACAAAATGAATAGTTTATTTGGCTGGTAGCATAAAGATCAGTAATTCAAATCTACCAGGATATCATCCTTGTATCAGGAGAGTTCTGGTGGTTTAGTGGTAAGGAGTTGTGAGGCCAACTCAAAGGCAAATGGTTTGACTCCACCAGTTGCTCAACAGGAGAGAGATGGAAAATCTCCTTCCATGTAATTTACTGCCTTTGAAAACTCACCAGAGCATCAGCTATGAGTAGGTTCTAACTCGAAAGAATCAGCAACAGGTTCTAGAGGATATAAATCTTCATGGAAGAATTCTCATCTTTCTTCCATGGTGCACAGTAGATTAGCAATAACAATATTTTGGTTAACAGCACAGCACACTACACTCTATACCACTAGAACACACATATATATGTGCATGTGTGTGTACTTCATTTTCTTTGATTAGTCATTTGGAAAGAAGGCAGCAGGACTGTCACCAACACAGTTCAAAATAGTGTCCAAAGGTTCTCTGTAAGAAGTGTTCAAAGTGAATTTAACCCACTTGAATTTAATCCACATTTAAACCTATGTCCACAGTAAATTGGATTTTAATGTATAAGTCAGGGTTTATTCAGTTACATTTATGAGTCTGAAGCCCATGCTCCTCCTTGTGACTGAGATATCAAACAGCAATATGCTTAAATAAAGCTGGAAGTGTAATCTGCCATGGCAGATTCAAGAAGGGTCTAGAGATCTTGCTATAAAAAGGAGTATCATTTTCTTAAGCAAAGAAGTGTGGAATTCTGAGGAAGAGCAGATTTAAACCAAAATAAGAGGACTTGACTGTGAATAGAAAGAAGGGTTCTTTGTGAGCGCTCAATTCTTTCATGATTTACTCTTTACTGGGCTCCAGGGGAAACTGAAGCTATCATATAATCTTTTTCTTTATTATATTTCATACAAAAATTGATTCTCTCTCAAAAGTCTCCTCTCTTAATTCCTTTATGAGTTTGTTGTAACTCACATTTAAACAAATATTGTCATTATAATTTCTACTACCAAATTTTTAATCATTTTGTGAAAATATCACATTGCAGAGATTCTATAAGATTTATTTACACTTCTTTAAATTTTAAATTAAGGAATGGCAGTAGATGCATGCTGTGGAATACTGTGAAAATGACATAAATCAAAGTACCAAAAGCCCACACAGCATTATCCACATTGTAACTCACTTTATTTCATTCCCACAAAAATCAGCCCTACCTTTCACAATTGAAGATGGACTCCTGTGTGGTTCCAGGCTCTCTTACAATGACCTTCTCACAGTACCAGTACTGGGATTCATCACGGGCGTCACAGCGCAACAGCACCTTCTGCAGTTTTCCAAGTGACACTGCTTCCACTTGAAACATATCAATCTAGTGCAAAAGACAGAGAAAAAACTTCAGAGAAATAAGGACAATACTGCAGATGAGAGACTATAATAATAGCCCAAAGACTGCCAGAAATATTACAATTCTTTACAAAAGATGTTACTGGAATTAGCATCAAAAAGGGATTAAGGAGGGAAATGAGCAAATTGGGTTGTTTACTTATCAAAAATGTTTTTTTTCTGGTTTTACTTTCTTCTCTTTTTTCCATTTATAGAGATAAACCTTTCTAAAACAGGAACACTGAATTTTCCAAGGTAACTTTAATAATCTAGTAACTATGTAAGTATAACCCACTGAGAGAACCTAATCAAATCTCTAAGCATCTATAAATACACATAGGGTTGAGTCTAGTGTTATTTCTTACATATTTTATACTTCTACAGGACAGAAAACATAGAAATTTGCTACTGGAGTCACACTTACTTCACACAACCTCATAATTAATAGCATGAGTTGTGGCTGCTGTGAAATAATTATGGAAAGTTATTTAACATTCTCATTACATTACATTCAAAGAATTGAGGAAAACAATGGAAACATAAAATGTAAAATAAACTAGTAGAGAAAACAATTTCCTATCTCTAAAATTTAGAACGGAACAAGCTTGAAAGCATGAGTGGCATCAACTTCCGAAATAGCTTGTCTCCAGAAACCCTATGAATCTGGAGAAAGGATGGAAGTTATACAAGTGTCCAGGTTTTTGTTCATAGGGTCGTTATGAGTCTCCTACAACTCGACGGCACTTAATAGCAAAAATAACAGTGTAGAGAGAGCTCAGTTGGCCTAATGGACAGAAAGTAATGCTCCCAAGCCAAAGGTGGATGACTTTAATCTGTGGCCCTCAGACCTATTTTTAATTGTTTTTGGTCAAACATTATTGTAGGTCATATAGCCCTGCTCTGTCCACGTACTGAACAGAGGTAACACATGGTTGCTGTGAAGCTGAACACTGTGACACTGATGTGTCAAATGTGACATGGTTACCCGTGGTGGACAATATTTGGTGGAGCTTCCCACTTACCAACAACACCACCATTAAGCCCACATACATGCTCTTCTTTATATTCTAATTTCAACTATACTTGCCACAAAATTTTAATCTCATCTCATCTTTAATATCATCTCCTAGTACATGCTATACACAATGGTGAATTTTAAAATACGAATAATGAAAATAACTTGTAAAAACTGATGTGTAAAGAAATCTTGGCATTCTATTGCACATGATGCAGCCTCTGCAAACTGTTGCACACTGCCAGAGTTAGGCCAAATGTAGACAAAAGAGGCAGAGACTGATCATGTGACAGAAAGAGGCTCTCTCTATGAGAGAGCCTTGGACTAGCAGGAAACTCTGAGGGTCATTTAGATGATAACTTCACTGATGACTCAGCATAATACTTTGGGGTTTTGTGGAACCTGTCAAATTCTTATTTCTTTTCTTTTTTTCTTGTATTTACTTGGATTGATTCCATAAATGTACTTTTACCTACTGTATTGGATGAATGGTTGAGCCAACAACAAATAGATGGAAGGAAGAGTACTAAGGAAGAATTGGTGATGAGAGACAAAACAATGCCGCTTTGAATAACTTGTATTCACATTAGTCAACACAATGTGTTGTATCAGAATCTACATTTGCCTAAATTACTCCTAAAGTTTAAAAACTGATCCTTTAAAAATTTATTTGATGTCACTATTTCACTGGAAATATTAAATATTTTTTCACTCATGAAGCAATAATGTCTTTTTAAACATGCAGTCATATTAATCAATAAAAAAGGACATTTTGAACAAAGAATGTTGGCACCAAAGTTAGTTTAGACTACAGTAAATTAAAACTGAAAAACACAATAGAAGCAATGATTATTTACATGACAGTGCATAATATTTTTTCAATTTATTATTCTATTAATTATAATAATTTTAATAATATCACAGTATCTAAAGTTTTGTGTCTGGTCAAAAGTAATAATTTATTTCTATTTTTCTCTTATCCAAAAGAGAACTGTTATTGTTGTTGCTGTGTTTTTTGTATAGAAACCAACTCACAGCTGAATCTTCAGAGAGTTTTCAGAGGTTGTAAATCACATGGGAGGAAATTACGGAAATTTCTCATCTTAAACCCTGTGCTTTTGGATTGGCAACACAAATCTTTACCCACAAGGCCACCTAACTAATTCAACAGAACTAGCTTTCCTACTTATTTTTTTATGCATGTACATTATATTTGATATAATCTTTCACTTGCATTGTATTTCTATCATATATTTTGTGTTTTTCCTCTTAAAATAATCTAATAACTGTTGTTGTGTTATGTGCCATCAAGTTGTTTGCAACTCATTGTGACCCTATGCACAACATCTCTAACCCTCCTCTGCTCTATCTTGTGCCAACAACATTTATAAATATTGGTGTGTCAAATGCCAAAAGGGTCACCCACATTGGACAGGCATTAGAAGAGCTCCCAGATTAAGACAGAGTAAGAAGCAGGATTTGCCATCCACTTAAATAGCAGGCCTCTGATAACCCTACAACCAATAGAGGAACATGAACACACTGACTGCTGCAATAGGCTTGAGTGTATCAGAAAGCATGAGGATGTCACAGAATAGGACAAGGTTCAAATCTGTTGTGGGTTGTACCCAACTCAATGGCACAACAAAAATGTATTTGTGAAAGCATCTGAGCCAACTACTTCACAACTCATGCCTTAATAGTCTCATTATAGATAGCCAGTTTCTGATTTGTCCATCCTTATCTTTTGCTGAAAGATCTTCTGATCAGTTTGGAAACTTTGAGCATCTGCATCCACAAGTATCATCTAGTCTAGAGCAACCTATTTGGTTGCAGCAATCAACCCTAGCTCACAGCATGGATCAACTTCTCTTCATCTGGTTGCATTCTGGTAAACTCATCCTCAGTCATCTGTGTCTAGGTGTAAATAGGCATCAGCTGCAAACTCAGGAATACACATTACCCCCTGTGTTTCAGACCTGTTGGTCTCTTCACTCAGTCTTAGCTCCCACATGATACCAAGACAAGAAGACAGGGTTCTTCATGACTCCCTGTTCCACAAGCCAGTAACTCATTTTTGCTTATCCATACATTTGTGCCTGCTAGGTGGACAGTGCTGAAGGCATATATCCAAACTCAGCCTGTCTCTTCTTTCTACATCCACTCCAGTGGATCCAGATGATTGTTACAAGTGAGTATAATTTTCAGCAAGTGGGCTCTGATGCGCACCAATTTTACCCTGTCTCAGAAGCTAGCTTGTTCCAGTTTTACAGTCAATCTCTATCTTCTTTTTCTTTTTTCCTGCCTTTCTCTCTCACCTTTCTTTCAAATATGAGTCTCTGCAATCTAAATTCCAAGGTGATTCTACAAATCTATTCAAATGCAAATTTCCTCAGAGTACTGTTGTTGTTGTTATTGTTGTTGTTATGTGCCATCGAGTCGCTTGCTACTCATGAGCCTCTGAGTACTAGGCTGGACTTAATCTTTCCTCTAGACTAAGCCTTAGCCCCCACTACCAAATTCTACTTTTAACAAGCTTATCCCCAGGGTAGATCTTTCCTTTTATTACTTCAGATCCTCATCTGCAACGTCTTTGCCAAATATTTTCCCTCAGTCTATGGGCTTTCTTTTCACACTACTGGAAAAAGTTCTTGATGCACATAGGGATTTGATTTTAAGACGATCCCATTCACCAATTTGTCTTCTCTTGGTTGTGTGTTTTGACTGTGTTTGCAAGCTTGTTTATGCTGTAGACTTTGTTTTTGTTGTTTCCTATGAGTCTGAACCAATCCACAGCTGACCCTCCAGTGGAATTTCATAGGCAGTAAATTACATGGAAGGAAATGGCCCATTCTTCTCCCATGGAGCAGCTGGTAGATTTGAACACATGTCTTTAGGATTGCAGCAAAACATCTTACCTCTAGGCCACCAGAACTCCCTTTATGCCATAGGCTAGAACTTCTAAATTTGTTCCCATTTGCCTCTTAGGATCTTTATGGTTTTCAGTTTTATCCCTAGGTCTCTGATCTACTTTGAGTTGGTTTTTGTATATGGTGTGAGATGTAGATCCTGTATCAGTGTCCTACTTATTTTGATGAAAATGTTTACACACTCTTTTTTTTTTTTATTTTTATTTTTATTTTGTGTGCGTGTACCGTCAAATCAGATCTGACTGGTACAGGAGGATATTGCGCCTCCTTCTCCGGCAGAGCATCTGGTGGATTCGAACCGTGTTCCTCTGGGAGTGCAGTGCAGCTTCTTGCCACTAGGCCACCAGAGCTCCCCTGTTTACACACTCTTATATTTCAAATAAATATAATTGGTGAACTTTATGATCTTTAATGCTTCAAAATATTCTATGAGAAGCAACAAAAATGTTTTGAGAAACAGTACTCTTAAAAATGATTTAGGAATTTTGTTTCTAAAATATTTTGACATTAAAATGTCTCAATTTCATATTTTTAAATAATATTTTCTTTCTATACACAATGAAATAATAACATTATTTAGATTCATGTATATTTCACTGCAATTTCTCTACAGCTACCATGTAAAAAATCTCTGGCTTACATGTAAAAGACAAAAGGAAATTTTGAGGGGCTCTAATGTGAAAAAAAGGTAGTTTCATTAATCCAGATATTTTTTTTAAAAGGGGACTTGTGCTATTTTATGAGAGATACTCTAGCGGCCCTTTGATAACATGATTTTTTTTATAATACTATTTTGTATCTTTTAGTGTTGTCTGAGTATTTCTTATAATAATTTCCCCTGGCATTATCTCATCTCATCTCATTCCCACCTCCCTCTTTCTTACACTATCTCTAATCTTTAATACAAATTTCTTTGTTCAATTATTCATTACTGATTTAGTGTCTCCTGGTTTTCTTTCAAGAATGAGTCAAGAAAAATGTATGTTAAAGATGTCCTAAAACCAAAGCTTTCTTTGGTTTTCTTTTTTAAGAGTGTCAAGCACCTTTTAAATTTTAAATCATATATAGTCATGTGCAGAGGGTTTTCTGAGAAGATAGAGAAGTTATTCTCTCAGGCTTACCTGTCCTCTTTGAAATTTCATTGGCATATTAGATTTGTACATTAGTCTAAGACCGGAGTCTCCTCTCTCTCCATAAAGACAAAGGTAAACTTCAGAAGCTGTTTCTGCTTGTATCAGTTGTCCAGTATGAACATAAACATGGTATCTGACCACTGACAAAAGGAGAGAAGAGGAAATCAATTGCTTTGTGATTTATACAAACCAAACCCAGATCTAAATGTTCTAAGGTTATAGTACAATATACTGCATGAGAATTCTTTTCTGAGATCTCTGTACAATATGGCAGGGTTTTGATCCTCTTATTTTTAAAGAGGCATTTTTAAAACTGTGAATCCTCAGAAAGTGTAAAACTTTATCAAGAGAATTTATTTTTCTTTTTTAAAGAGGCTAGTCTTTTTTGTATGGCATGATACGAAGAATCCCACTGTTATTGGTGAACAGAGTGAAACTGCCTCATAGAGTCTGCAAGACTGTAAATCTTTACAGAAACAGACTGACTGCCTATCTTTCTTCCAGTGTGACTGGTGAGCTCAAACTACCGACCTTCTGGCTACTAGGCAAATACCTTACATACAGTGCCATCAGAGCTCTTTTTCTGTAGGGCATTTTATGCCTGATATTTAGTAACAAAAGTGATGGTTTTGTTATCAATAATGTTTAAAGGTTAAAATGACTTGGGTTTTAATGAACACATAAGTAAAAAGTGAGATGATGGCAAGCGGTAGCTGCAGTCCACCTCAAAGAAGGCATAATGGGGCTGCTGTGATCTTTCTTCTCAGATCTTCACTTGAGGTGACTGGACCTGGGTCCTAAGAACCCAATCTATCAAGAAAGCAGTGTTACACTGAAAATAAAGCCATACTTCTCACTGGGTAAAACAACTTCTAAGTTATAGAAAATATTCTGTAACAAAATAATTGCAAAGTAAATGTAAGTGAATACAAAACAATTTGCATATGTAAAATACATTATTGACATACATGGAAATATAACCTGTCCTTCTTTCACCACAGGAAGCTCACAGACAATATCCCCATCTGCTCGAATGCGAGACAACCACACGTTAGCTACAAAGTCTAGGGTCTTTTTACTCTTCATATGTTGCATAGTCACCTGAGATGACAAGAAACAAAGGTCAAACTGTTTAGGTTTCAGTTTCTCACACTATAAAGAAGTCAAAATGCATAGATGCTGCAGAGTTAGTATTCATAGCACTGAGAATTTTTTTTTAAAAAGGGCAAATTGTCATTGGCGCATTGTTTGCGGTAAGTGTTAATGGTAGTTTACAGTGTAAGTCATCAGTATTTTCTTCTTGGAATCAAGAATAAGTGTACAACGAAGTGTAAACATGTTTATTCTCAAAGGTCTCAGCAAACCATAAACAAAATCAAGGCCTAAGTGTCCTTACTGCTCATTCTATGCCATGTGATAACACCTTGTTTATTCTAAGAACTCTTCAAAGAGGATCAACTATGGCATTAATAATTGATTGATGTACTATCAAATGCTAAATACATGAATTTATTTTTGGTTTTAAGAAACTGGTATAACTTCAAAGTTATTTTTATAAACTGCTGGAGTCCATTAAGATTAAACATTTGACTGGAGATTTTGTGAAAAGATGTGTTTCCTGCAGTTCATTGAACCAGAAAATCCTCAAAACCAAACTCTTTTTCTTACTGCATTTCAGAACTTGCTTTTTACCTCTGTGAAGAAGTAAATGGGGGAAAAAATCTACACACACACATATCTCCTTCAACCACTCATCTGTTGATTTGCTAGATGATGTTGGGTTGTGTGTTTTTGTGATGGTGGAAGCTATGCTAATGGCATTTCAAATAATAGCAGGGTCACCTATGGCAGATAAGTTTCAGTGGATTGAGAAGCAGAACTGGATATCTAATGCTGAGATATTGGGACCATGACAATGTTACAAAATATGTAAGAAAATTCTCAGTTATTGTGCCCAAAGATGAGCCCCTCACCTCAAGATTGGAAGGCACTCAAATTTGACATGGAAAGAGATGTATCTTGAAAGATACAGCTTAATGATGTGGATGGAATAAAGTTATCACCCAGTAAAAGAGGTTCATTTGTTGATGTGACAAAATTCAAGATGAAGAGAAGCAGTTGTAACCATCTATTAATAACTAGAATTTGAAATGTATGAAATATAAATTTATGAAATTTGGAAGTTGTCCAAAATGAAATACAAAGAATACAGATGGGCATGCTAAGCATTAGTGAACCAAGATAAATTAATAGTGCTCACTTTAAATTAGATAATCATATGACCAACTATATCTGAAACGTCAAATTGAAAAGGAAGTTGGCACAATCATCATCAAAAGAAATATATCCCAAATTGTGAGTGATAGGGTATCCATATTCATATTAGGAAGATTGTTAATGTGACTATTATTTAAATATGCACATTAAACACTAAATCTAAATCTTAAGAAAATAATTTTCCTACTTTTGAAGTCTGAAATAGATCTATCACATACTTGAGATTCACTAATAATAATTTGTGACTAGAATGCAAAAGCTGGAAACAAAGAAGGAGGACTGACATTGGACCCTGGTGATAGAAATAAAGTTAGAAATTGAATTACAGAATTTTATACATTTTTACATTCATTGTAAATACCATTTTTTTAAATAAAACATAAATTTTAACCATATATATATTGATCCCATTAAAAAAATCCCAAAAACATAAACAATGGGTACACACATAGACCTGACCTAAAGGAACCAAGAATCAGACGACAGGAATCATATTGGTTATATTTGTGGAAAGAGCTAAAGAAGAATCTCAATACCAACAGTCAAAACAAAGCCAAGAGCCAACTGTGGAACAGGCCATCAATGCAACATGCGAGTTCAAATTGAAACTGAAAAAATTAAAACAAATCCCTAAGAGTGAAAAATACCGAGTTTATCCCTTCCGAAGTTAAAAACTATCTCAAGAACAAATAATGATGCAAGAAAATGGAACAATTATTAAATGATAGCTCAAGAAGACTGAGCAAGGTATTATAATGAAATGTGCAAAGAGCTGAGTTAGAAATCAAAAGAGAATACAATCAGCATTTCTCAAGCAACAAAAACAGGTAAAAAATTCAGGCTTTATTTTACAATACTTCAGTATTCTATGGCAAACATTCAATTACAAATAAAAAAGTTAATATGCTATGGTCAATTGTTCAATATTCCATTGTAAAAATATTGAATGAAGCAAGAAACAAAAATCAGATGGAAGTTATTAATAGTAGAGTCACTATATTAAAAATAACTGTTAACACTGAATCATTTCAGGTAATAACTTATGATAAAAAAACCCAATTGTACTAAAGGAAGAAGTCCAAGTTGCAATGAAGGCATCAGCAAAAAATAACAACCCCAAGAATTGATACAATACCAGTTGACATATTTCAAAAAACAAATGCAGCCTTGGATTTCCTCTATCCTCTATGCTAAAAAAATTGTTAGATAGCTACTTGAACAATTGACTAGAAGAGAGCCATATTTGTTCCATTCTAAAGGTGATCAAACAGAGAGTCAAAATTATGAACCAATATCATCAATATCACACAGAAGTAAGATATTGTTGAAACTTATTTTAAATTGCTATTACAATACATTGTCAGGGAACTTTACCAAAAATGTAAGCCAAATTCAGAAGAAACCACGGCACAAGGAGTATAATTGCTAGGGTGAGAATCCAATTTGAAGGCAAAGAATACCAAAAAGATATTTACTTGTTTTCTATTGACTATGCAAAGGCTTTTGATGGTACATATTTTAATGAATTATGCATAACATTGAGAAGAGTGGGAAATCCAGTGCCCTTAGTCATGGCCATGGAAAACCTATATATATAGACCAAGAAGCAGTCATTGAAATGTAACATAATAGTGTGTGGTTTAAAGTCATAAGGGGTTTTGTCAGAGTCCCATCTTTCTCCAAACTGTCCAATCTCTTATTGTTATGTGCTGTAGAGTCTCCAGTGACTCATAGCACCCAAACGTACTGAAGTCTGTCCTGTCTTGAGCCAGTCTCAGTGATTCCAACACACCTACTCCCATTTCCCTAGTCACTGCATCAATCCATCTCATCCGGGGTCTTCCTCTCCTGCACTTTCCCTCCACCCTTCTGAGCATGATGTCCTTCTCCAAGGATCTGTCCCTCCTGGCCACATCACTAGAGTATGTAAGATGGAGCTTCAAAATCCAAGCCTCCAAGGAGAAACATGGCTTCACTCTCTCCATTCACTCTCTCATTCGCTCTCTATTTGTTTTCTTGGTGGTCCATGTATGTTCAAGACTTTTCTCCAGCACCACAACTCAAAGGCATCAAGGCATCAATTCTTCCTCTATCATCATTAGTCATTATCAACCTCTCTGATGCATAACAAGCAAATGCAAAGATCATGGACTGCATCAGGCACACCTTAGTGTCTAGACTGACATTGATGCTTCTCAGTACTCTGGAAAGGTCCCTGACAGCAGATTTACCTAATACATCATTTTTTTTTTATTTTTTTAATACATCATTATTTTAAACTTCTAATTTATTTTAAAAGTGTGGATACATTGTTTTCTACAAGAGATCCTTCCCATTTCCTTCATCCCACTCACCCATCAAATTGTGCAACCCTATAATTAACACCCTGTGTCCCCCTCACCGCTCTATTTTCATCCTCCTCCCTCCCTTGGATCCTCATACTCATTCTACAATAAAGGTTTTATACAGTATTTGTCCTTGTGGAACTGAGTTAGTTCACTCAGCATAATGTTCTCCACTCTCTCCCAAGTTAGGTAGTAATTTACAAAATCATTGCTCCTGCATGCTGCATGCTGTAGTATTCCGTTGTATGAATGTACCACAACTTCTCTATCCATTTGTTTGTGGTTGGACATATGGACTGTTTCCGTGTTCTTGTGATGGTGAATAATATTTCTATGAACACTGGTGTACAAATCTCCATTTGAGCCTCGGTTCTCATTTTCTTGGGGTATATTGCAAGCAATGGATAGCAGGGTCAAGCAGAATTCCTATGTTTAGCTTTTTGAGGAAGCGCCAAACTGCCTTCCAGAATGATTGTATAATTGTACAATCTCACCAACAATGTAAAAGAGTTCCTATCTCACCATATCCTCTCCAACATTTATTACTTGCTGTTCTGTTAAGCTTTGCCATTGCTACTGGAGTTGAGATAACACCCCTTTGTGGTTTTGATTTGCATCTATCTTACTGTCAATAATTTTGAGCTTTTCTTCATATGTCTGTTGGCCATTTTAATATCTTCCACTGTGAAAATTCTTTCCATATCTGTTGCCCATTTTGCAATTAACTTATCAGACTTTTTCTTGTGGAGGCCCAGGAGTACTCTATAAACTTCCGTTATGAGATTCCTGTCTGAGATGGTATTGCCAAATGTTTGTTCCCTGTCAATAGGCTTTCTTTTCACCCTGTTGGAAAAAGTCTTTGATGAGCACAGGGACTGAATCTTTGGAAAGTCCCATTCATCAATTTTATCGTCTTCAGATCATGCATTTCTGGTTGTATTTGGCAGTCCCTTTATATCGTATACTAGGGCTTCTAAGCTTGATCCCAGTTTGTCTCTTATGTACTTTACAGTTTTGGGCTTTATTCTCAAGTTTCTTACCATCTGGGGGTGATTTTTGTGTATGGTGTGAGATATGGATCCTATTCCAGCTTTCTGCAGGAAACAATCCAGTTTTACCAGCACTATTTCTTAAAGAGGTTGTCATTTCCCCATTTGATAGGTTATATTTTCTTGTCAAATATCCTTTGATCATAGATTGTTGCAGTTGTTGATTGGCTTTGAGTCGAGCATGACTCATAGTGACTCTATGAACAAGAGGCCTGAAGCCCCTCTATAACTACCAACATTATCAAAGTTCACAGAGTTTCCGGAGGCATGTTATTAAGGAAGTTGATGCTTACTCCTGCTACCATAGATAGCTGGGTCTATTTCTGGGTTCTCAATTCTGTTCCACTCATCTATGTGCCTGTCATTGTATGAGTACCATGTTGATTTGGTTACTACTGCTGTGTACTAGGTTTTGAGGTTAGGGAGTGCT